AAATTCAAATTCACGTCTAGAAAAAGCTTGACGAGCTGGAACAGGTGGAGCTCGATTTTGACTCTGTCCAGGGATGCTGAAAATTTTGACTGACCACATTTACAGTTCATAACTGAAAAATTGTAGTGTCGAGTTTTGTAGCCTAATGCAAGAATGATTGTAGAAGGTGGTCGAAGTCATTGAGCTCATCGAAAGCTTTCTTATTACCCTGTTAAAAGCTATGTTAATAGAAGGAATCTGGGAGGAACGGAACGATCCTCTTTGTAGGCTATGAAGAGGAAAGCATAAACGAAGTAGCAATGGGATGTGCAACGCAGGAAGAAGACAGATAGAAAAAAAGGTGGGTCTCCCGTTCAAAGCTGCATCAAGGAATAATATCTTCTAGCAATGATCAACCCTATTTCTAGGAAGCGCTTATGCAGCTCCCTTCCTTTCAAAGTCACTACGGCGTATGGACATGCGGCTTAAAGGCACAGTTCACGATAATTCTGGGTAATCCAGATTATGGTGAAAAATGGAAGACAAGATCGAAAATAGTGCGACTGAGGTGAGGAAACTGCGTGAATCAGTGTTTCCAAAGTGAAAAAATGCTTTGAAGAACCGTTAAAAAGGGGGCTGGACGAGACTGAGACCAGAAAAATGATGAAGATTGGGGCCTTCGAACGAGCTATGCAGTGTGTCTCACTGCGTATGTGTGGGTGATTGTGTGTGGGTCCTAGAACGAATAACTGCAATCTGTATCGCCTCGACACTCGTTTGACGTGACTTCGATTGATGGGCGGGAAGGCCGCGCGAGCCGGGATTGTCGTGAACTGTGCCTTTAAACTGCTGAATCGCGCGGGTCGGCAGATGTACAAGTCACTTCTTTTTCTTCCCACGCAAGTCTGGTTCTGAATAGCGGGCTCGGCGTAGATGGGTTTCAATCCAGGGTCCGAACTATGAGCATGATAATGTGCTATTTGACACTGCACCACCTCTGAGCCTGTGATGTAATTCAAGTTTCTAACGCTGCCATCAGCTTAACCCTTTTTTCGTTCCTTGCAAAGAGGGCGCATGGGTTACATTGTCGGACACATGTAATCACGAAGCAGATTTTATCGTGCAATCGTACGTCATTCCCAGGCACTGACCATGAGTGGAACGGGGTATGATGTACGGTCTATTATAATTCTGGAAGCTCTCGAAAAAATCGCTGAGCTACCGAGGGTATAAGCTACATCTTTTATCTTTTCTTATTGGCTGTCAGGCTTCACACACAGTCCTATTTGAAAGCCCTTACGTGTGTCTGATGAACTTCTTTAAAATCCATGCCACGTCTTTCATTATTGGCCGATGCTCTGGTATTGCTTTCCAACAAGCAGCAACAATTACTCGTATTTCTATTGGCATATTGGGAGATAGCGGTGGTCGGAACTTCGGGTCAGCTATCTGTAAGTGGGCTAGTTTGGCCTTTCTAGAGAATAACGGCTTATGAAGAAGAAAAATGGAGACGCTAACATTGCGCCGGACAGTTTTGTTAGAGAATTCTTCAAATGGTTCTTTAGCATTGTTGAATATTTCCCAGACTAGAATTCCATAGGAGTATACATCACACTCTCTTGTATAAGTTAAGGTCTCCAATACTTCTGGGGCTTGCCTGAAAAAGTGGGACTTTCAGATATTGGTGAGGCTGTTTTTCCTTCGAATCCGATTGGGTGACGAAGCCGAGCTCATCTCGCCAAGACTTTGGGAATGCTATTCGCTTAAATTCAACAAATATCTTACCATTTTACAGGTATCTTCTCGAAACCTTGTATTTTATATTTGTCTGCTTGCTTTGATAAACCAAAATCAGATATTTTAACAATATTTTTTTGATTGTCAATCAAACAGTTTCTGCATGCCAGGTCTCTGGAATTTAGCACAGACTTAATTTGAGACAGAAACTTCCGAACGGATGAGTATGATCGAACGGGTTCCTATCATTGAAAGCTTGTAAACCTCGACGGTGAATAGATTGGCGTAAACGGCAAGTTGCACATTCATCGAGAAACTTCTAGTGAAAAACCCACTTGGTAGAATTTAATGAGAATAAACTCGAAAAATAGCTTCCAAAAGCCAAATTTGGGCACAAACTCAATAATCACAAAGCTGAAATCTCACCTGTGCATGCACCGTTTACTGTGAAGATAGTATAACCCAAGTGATACATCGAATGCGTACGAACATCGATCAGGTATACTTACCTATAACAAATCTATTTACATTTCAATGCTGGAATCTCTACAGCCTCGGTACCGTGGTTCATTTCTGCTTCTTTCAACTTGACCGCATTTTTACTTACAATTAGATTACGCCTATTTCACGCAAACTACACCATCTTCATCCCTCCCACGCCCCGCTAGCGAGATTCAACGCAGTCTCTCTTCACCACCTATTATAGTACCTTAATTCTGTCTAGTGACTTAACTCCGTTGCCTGTACAGGTACCGCATTTAAATGCTCTGAGGCCAATTCCACAACCTTCCACTGTGGGCGGAAGGAATCCACACTTGTGAGTGGAGCTGAGCCCAACCTCCTACCGTGAGTGCATTTCCGTCCTGCGGCCTACTCGCTTACCAAATTTAAACGCTCGAGTCCACGGCAGTTATGTCTTCCGGTCGGACACACACCGACACATCAGTTCCATGGCAGCTTGCGTGGAAGGTTAGGAAGTGTCATCCAATTTTCGACGTTTACGCTGGGGTCACGCTACTGAGGATAAACGTTATGTGTCTCACTAAGTACGTTCCCATGTAGGGTCATTTGAATATGGAAGGCTGGGCTGTCACACTGCGTTCTTGTGAAAATGTTACCAAACTGAGTGAACTCGTGAATATGTCGAAAAGTAATTTTACAAAACTTATTCACTTTTGCGTTGGGATGAGAATGGCTACTCACCACGTTTTTCTGGAGATAATGATCAAGTCCACCACCAGGCACCATTTCCATTACTATCATAGCCCTGTCGTTATCGATAACCATACCATAAAACGCCACGATGTTCCTTAAACAGGGTATCCTATTCTAATTTCTCAGAACATTCTATTAGGTTGAGCAATGTGTAGTGTCCGCTTCTTTTGAAAAAGCCAAACTTTTCAAAATATTTCTCCGTTAGTACCTCCAGAACGGAGGAACCTCAGCATTCTTTTATACGGCGTAATTCGAACGTTCCCACTCGTCTCTTTCAAACAAAATTGGCGTCGTCTTCGACTCGTGTTCGACAATGTCTTCTTACAAGTTCCGTCTACGATACTCAGTAGACGAAGCCCATCGTAATTTGTGCGGTAGACTGATCGAAGGCGGAAAAAGTGATAACCTTTTTCCGTTGGTTTCAGAAGTTTCGCAAAGGCAACTACAGCCTTGAAGTCCAACCGCGTACGGGACGCCCACTGTTCATAGACTTTGATGGGATCGAGGAGCTCTCACAAAGCAATTTGTACGCTACTGACTAGCTGAAGACTGCAGCGCTGCCAAAAGATCATGTGCCTTCCCCTCAGAGCTTTGGGGAGTCGTGAAAACTGGAGGGATGAATTTCACACGAACCTAGTGAGGCTGCTTTGTGGGCTAGCTACCAGTTGTTTCGCTCGCTTGCTCAATTGCCCCTGGAGAACAAGAGCTCCGATGACTGCGGGCACCGAACGATACATTACTCACTATTCAACCTATTAATCGTGATCATGGCTTTTCATCACACTTTGATATCGTTTTGGAGCTCTGTAACTTATAAGCATTTCCAAGTTAAACCATATGATTACGCACAAATGCTTGTATTGACGCAGTAATCGACCTTCCTTATGCATTTCTTGCATGAGAGCCTTGTTTTCTTCTTTCACTTTCGTCTGCAAATAGAAATTTCTAATCATTCTTGACCGTTACTCCAGACTTTTCTCATAAACTCGCAAAAGCAATATGAGTAAAAGTCTGCTGGAGTTTGGAGTCGTAAGCTGTGAGCTACGGCCAACACTGTAAGTATGCCAGGCGCTGGGCGTGGAATCACGCGCAGACTTTTGCCCTCCGTCGGCTTAGGCGGTAAAGTGACTTGTTTTTCTTCGTTCTAATTATAGCTATACTCTCTTCACGCTATGTAGAAGTCCCCATACAATTCGGTCAGAAAGAATTCCATAGAAAATCGATGAAACGTAATGACAAAACAATCATTCACTGCATAACAAGGAATCGAAAGTATCAGAGGGTAGGAAACTAACTCACACCGGAGTACCATTGCATACTCTAGAAGGGAAATGATCTTATGGATTTTGCAAATCAAGCCCCTTTACCAGTCATTATCACTTGCTTTCGATCCCTGCTGCCAACTATCTATGACCCAGCCTTATCCTAATTCAGTCGCCACAGTGTCGAGGTCCCAAGGTTGATGCGGGAGCCGCGACTGTTCCAGTATCTCATGCCTTCAAGAACTCCCTATCAGCCTCTATCAAATGTTTTCACCTCCTGTCACCATCAATATACCATACTATCACATCCCACATCACCCACATACACCGACATGCACACACCCAGTGAATTATATGGAGTAGAATCTTTACGCTTAGCAAATCGAAAGGTTGTTCACATCGAAAACTGGAGCGGAACTTATCATTAGTCTTGTTAATAATCAATTTGGGCGGAGGTGGTGTAGTAGTGGCTTCCAGTGGTTCGAATCCCGGATCGATATCCGCCTAGGCCAACCAAGATTTCCATCCCTCCGGGGTCGGTTAATTGATACCAGACTCGTTTGGGAGGATAAAAGCACTGACTTGTACATCGGCTGGCCACAGCAAGTCATTGTATAGGCCCCGTACGCACTCATTACACCACTACGATTCTGAATGGAAGTCGAGTGCGGGGCGTATCCCTCAGTCGGGATTGATTAACGCCGAAATCCTTATCCTTTTATCCTTGAATAAGCAATTTAGATATGTTTGCTAGCGATGATACTGATGCATCCAGTTTAAGAGAATTCCTTAGCTACTCCAACTCGACTAAGCTGGAGTAGAAACCGAAATTCGAAGACCAGAATGTACCACTTTGATGGCAACTTGTATATCTGTTGCAAAATGCCTCAACGTTCCCTTCCACACTTCGCCAAAAGTCCCTTCTCCAAGTTTCGATTCCATTTTGATTTTATCCCTTGATAGTTCCCATGATTGCTTTGGGATAGGCCTGGTCAACAGCGCTTGGCCTGCCACAGGAATTCGTTCGGTGAAGTGTTTCCTGGAATAAAAAAATGTTTAGCCTTTGCTGTTTAAATGAAAGACAATCAGCTCTTAGAGCAATTTCCATGGTTTCGGTGAACTTCGGATTAAATTGGGAACCAGTGGTCGATTCGATGCGCAAACTTTGATATAAAGTAACATTCGAATTATGCTTTCTGTCAAGTAATAGTCGAGAACATACATAAGAAAGAACTGCTCCCGTATGGGACTGTAGGGGCTTATTCAGAAATGAACTTCAATTGAAAAGCGGCAATGGCTAACTACACTGATTTCATTACGTTTTATGATGGTCCCACAGATACGACAAGGGGTAAGGCGTGGATTCACAAGAAAGTGGAGAAACTGTGTGAAGTGGGTACATACCGCTATGTACAGCTGCTCGGTGGAATTTAAGTCATGGGGATGAGCAGTTCAAAACACTTGACAGTTACCCTCTCTTTACAAGAGCTCTTTGTGAGCATGTACTACTTTTCCCATACTCGTCCTTCCAGCGTCCAATGCATCCTTAGAAGGACGAGCAAGGGGAACCCAGCATATGTATGTCAGGTGACTGTATCGCATTCAGAGATTTGGAGACCAGAATATTCATGCATAATATGCTTCTCAATAACCTAGGACACCATTGGGAGGCTAAGTAAGTTACTGTTCCTGAGTCTATTCATGTTCCTACATACCGCCGTTCAGAATAGCTGTTTGGGCTCCATCGGATCCCATTAGATCCCACTCCACATTAGCTGGTTCCTCCGCTCAATTCTCCAAACTGATTAGACTTCTTCGGGTGAATAATATAGAGGAATCGGCTCCTCCGTCATGACCTTACAGGTAGGCTCTAGTGATAAGGGAATTTCTCTGCACAAGGGAGACCTTCAACAGCATGGTCCCTCGAATTCGTTCTCTTCTTCCGAATTTTATAATAATTTCGCTTTATTAATCTAGCATACTTATGCTTTGCATGGCAAAGGCAACGATTTCCATGAGTAGTTTTGTAGTGATTATAATGTTTTCGAGAACTTTTTCCTGCAATCTCGATAGCAATTAAAAGAGCAAATAACTCACTGAACTACCGCGATTGCGCTAGATGCAGTATGGCATCCATCAATTGTGAAAAAGGGCATATTTTGTTGTTTAACCATGTGAATAGGGAAATCTTTGATGTGGTTTTCCACGCGCACTGTTAGGCAAGGCTGAATCACATGGTATAAAGGATGAAGGAGAAAGTCATGCGGCGTTAATCAATCCCACCATAGGGTGCGCCCACGCATTCGACTCCCATTCAGAATCGCAGTGGCATGCTGAATGCGTATGTGACCTATACAATGATTTGCGGTGGCCAGCCGATGTACAAGTCGGTGCTTTTACCCTCCCAGACGTGTCTGGTACCAAGTAACCGACCCCGGGGGAAGAAAGGCTCGGGTGGCCCGGGCGTATTTCGAACAGGCCCCAGAATTCTCGAAACATTCCTGACGTGAATTCCACTTTTCGCATACCGGAATTCTGGGACATTTTCAATGCATTCTGTAAGGCAGTCTTTGATTGGCTCTGTCCATCCCTCTGAACGGAAGAACTCAGTCTTCCCTCACGTCAAGCCGGAGCCCGTTCTAGGCCAGCACCTGTCAACTCTGCAGCTTGCCCTCGAGATCCTCTCTTTACGCAGGAAAGATATTGTCAGCTTGAGCATGGTCAGACATGCCACCCCTCCGGTTCATTGGACTGAGTTAACAAAAGCTCTGTCTAGCTCATTGTATAGGCCTTACGTATTCAAACGCAAAAGGCATTATCCTCTCAGCTTGTGTTTCGAGGAAGCAGTAAAGATTGGTAAGATTGGCATAGTCCTTATCATCAGTAAGGCAATTCTGCATCGTTGAAGACGTCCTGACTGGGAAATATCGCCGTGATCTATTCTTTGGTAGGGATAACCGAGCGGGCTAGAAAAACGAAGTGTCGTTTGAAAGGTGTCTTACCATTGCTCCTCGCCCTGCTTCGGGCTCAAGCGATCTAAGTAAAAAATCACCGCGTTCAGTTATCAATCCAACAATATCTTCTAAAGGTAGAGCACCATGGAACCAGCTTTCATTCTCCAGATCCTGGAAAAAAGGTAGCGAATTCAAGAGGCTGGTATGGTTTTCTTCATTCATTCGCAAGAAATATTTACAACCATAGCAAAAATTTTCGCGCTTCCGGCGCGATCACAAAATCTCTTGAAAATGAGACCAGAGGACATTTGAGAGATAATGAGGATCAGCGTTCAACACGTTTCATTACCTGGCTATATCCGAGGCAATGCAATCGAGGCACTCTACTGGTAAAATTGTGGACGTCCTACACAAGCTTAAGTGGCCTTCTACACGAATTATAAAACGCAGTTTAAGTTTCCTGCACGAGATGCAAAACCTTGGCAAGGGTTTATGGCCAGCCTGGGTCGAATGTTATGCGCCTATCACCTGTCCCCCATGGGATAAATTCTATGAGCGTGATCGGTGCCGAAAAGCGTCACGAATATGACGACGTTACGCTATATAAATGACGACCTTCGATCTGCGTTTATTAAGGAAGAACTGAAGGTTGGAATAGTGACAATGTCACCAACTTGGCAAAGTAAACGGTGGAAGTAGAAGGGAGCGGATCAACTGTGAGGTGCAAAAGTTGCAGAAGGACGACTCCTCGATTAATTTCTATCGTTTCACCACCTTTGAAAAAGGAGATCAATAGTTGACTTACAGACAGAATTCTTTCCGCTTCTTCATCCACAAATTTGCCCATTTCTTTTTTCTGGCCATCCTTACCCTGAAATGAGATTAGGCAGAACTTAAAGCATATTTTTGGCGATCGATACTAATGCTCACTTTCTGTTTCCCGGCGGATTGTAGTAGCTTTTCATACTGATTGGGGTCTTCTATCATAGTCCTCTTGAGAAGAGGAAGGCGAAAACGTTCCGAATACTGTAAAATATAAGTTTCAGTTGTTGTCGTAGTTCCCAAAAAACGATGAAGAAAAGAACGGTGTGCTGGATCGTCAAGAATTCGGGGGTGAACTTCAAGTTTTAGTATCAGCTGATATTTTGCTGGCAGAAATAAGGTTTCATAACCAGGGAAAATGGTTGGTAGGGAAATGAAGTGCCCAAAAAGATCCTAATACCTAAATGTGGCCCGTTTGTAATGAAATTGTTATGAGATACTCAGAAGCAAGATAGGTGAGCAAGAATTCGATTTTTTTGAGTGAGCCTTGCATTTGAGAATATCAGTCTACGAATATCCTTACTATATATAAAGCGCTCTGTCTGTCTGTCTGTCTGTCTGTACGGAAATTCGAGATAACCTGAAGTAACACCTGGAGAAGTCGGGTCAAGTTTGGAATAGGTTGAGCATAGGGTAAGTGCAACAGAGCACATGTGAGCTTGGCGGAGCTCCTCCCCCAAGGGGCGGGGCATGCGCCAGGATTGGGCGGGGTCATGGACTAATTCTTCTATTTCGGTCTCATAACAGTCCACACGCTGGGAAAAAATGTGCAAAGGTGAGGAACGGGTCTACAACTAAAATAAGGGAAGCTTACCGGCGGTGGGCGGAGCGTTCTCGCAGTGGGTGGTACCTTCCACAGAGATTCATAACTCGATTCAACGAAGGCATCGAGGCCAGGAAAAAAAGCAAAAGGGTTAACCAAGGCCCTATGCGTGCTAGGCATGCGTAGGCGTAGCAAAGCCCCGCCCACGGTGGGCGGGGCGTGCGTTAAGATAGAAGCTACTTTTAAAAAATGAGTGTAACTTCGTTCGGAAATGTTCTAGGATGCGGGAAAAAAGTGGTAAGAGGTAATGGAACAAGTGTGGCCGAATTCCCGAAGTGGGC